TCATTTAAACCTAACTTTTGGATATCCTGGTGATGGGGCACCTACCACCTCTGATCAACTTGTTCCAGTGTTGCACCACCCTCATCATAAGAAAATTCTTCCGTCTTGTCTGAATCTACCCTGTTTTGGTTTAGAACCATTATCCTTTGTCTTATTGCAACACTCCCTGACAAACAGCCTGTCTCCAATGAGCCCTGCAGCATTTCTGGAGATCATAGAAACATAGAGTATCCTGTGTTTGAAGGGATGCACAAGGTCATGCAGTCCAGCTCCTGGTCCTGCACAGGACAGCCCCAAGAATCACACCATGTGACTAAGTATTGCCTAAATGTTTCTTGAACACAGGCAGATTTGATGCCATGACTGTTTCTCTGGCGAGCCTGTTCAGTGCTCAACCTCTGGGTGTGGAATATTTTCCTGACATTAAACCTAAACCTTCCATGAAACAACATCAGGCCATTCCCTCAACTAGAACCTCTTCAGATTCCAAAAAGTGTTCAGAAATTGTTGAGAGGCCTTGTGATGACATAAGCCAGAGATTTGAGACTTCTGAGATGAATTCCATTGAACTCCCAGAGACTCAGAGAAATGCACCTAAGGCAGTAGTTCCTGAAAAGTTCAGGATTGACAGGGATTTTATCATTCTCACAGACATGGTGCCCAGCTCAGGTCTCTGGGACCCCCATAGCCCAGCATTGGTGATGAAGAGTGAAGGGAAGAAAGCATTAAACACCTCTGTCTTGTCTGTGTCCCTGTTTGTGAGGTGACCATCCTTGTCAAATAACAGGTGCAACCACTCCCGTTACAGCAGGGTCAGCTAGAACAAGATTGTTCTGTTAGTATTCTGTTGTTCGGAATATCTTGAAGGATGAAGATCCCAAAACCTTTCTGGGAAACCTATTCTAGAATCCAATCAACTTCTAAAAAAAAAAAAATTAAGATTAATTTCTTGTCTTTCAGTTTGTGCCCAGTGCCCCTTGTTCTGTCACTGGGAACTATGTAAAAGATTCTGGTTCTCTCATCTTCACTTCTTTCTAATCAGGTATTTATTTAAGGAGATCCCCCTTAATACTTCTCTTCTGAAGGCTGAACAGTTCCAGCTCCTTGAGTATCTACTCACACATCAGGTGTTCCAATCCTTGATCATCTCCATGATCCTTCAATACATTTTCTTTATTGTGTGCATATCTCTGTTTTACTGGGAACTCCAGAACAGGACCCATTACTCCAGATGTGAGTGAGGTGCTGAGCAGAGGTAAAGTGTTCTTCCTAATGCAGCTGAGGATACTGTTGACCTTTCTTCCTTCAGAGCACATTACTGGCTCGTTAATTTGATTTTACACTGGGATGCTTAGTTAAGAATTTAATTTATTTAGATATGGTGTCTTACTGATTTGTGATAAAACTCATGAACAACTGTTTTTCTTCCAAATTGAAAGGAGAGGTCTGAGACGTACACAGTACTGTTTACAATAAGCTGTAATTTTTGTCAGGTTTTTTGGGTATTTTTAAGCTTTCAAAGGATGTCAGCATCAGGGGAATTATATAACGTGCATGATCTTAATGAACCATGCACAGCCCGCAGGTTTCAGCTTTAATGTTTAATATGATGATCTGACAGAGTTTTTATTACTCCATCTGGCTTTGTATTTGCATGTTCCTGGATAGGTACATCTACCTGCAGTACCTGTGAGGGTGGTCACTTTGGTTGTAACGCCAAGTCTTCCTTGCTGAACAAAGGCGCATTGCAGACACATTTCAGAGGAGATGTTTTGGATTGGACAGAATGATATAAATTTCAAACTGATAGCTTTGCTCCTGTCACATAACACATTTTTCTTACAACATTTATTTCTTACAACACATTCTTCTTGCAACATTTATTTATCCTTCACATATCACTCTTATTCCATCACTTGGGAATTCCTTACTAACCCATCCAAGACTGAAAACCGAAGTTACTCAGCTATATATAGTAGGAAAATGTATTAAAAAGACAAACTAATGTGCCATTATCTTTCTTTCCTGCATATAACCAATATGAAATGTTTTCTATGTTTTATGAAATCTATATTTATGGATCAGAGTTTTATTTTGCCTTTTTTTTTTTAACAGGATACAAAAAAGGAAACACTGAGCCCAGTCTTGTCAGTATTTTACTGACAGCATGAAATTGTCTTGTTGTCCCAGAGGTTAATAAGAAAAAAATCTCTTATCAGACATCAAAGAAAATGCAAAATTATCACAACAGAAAGCAATATTCCTTCATTCTTTAATAATAAACAGTGCATGTTGCTACAGGAAACAAATGTACCCAACTGAATAGATAAATCCATAAATAAGAGCTGACTTTTTGCTTTAGCCAAGAAACAAATTGAAAAATATTCCACATATGGCTGAAGCCAAACTGTGTTAGCAATTGGGAGATTTACTGGAAAACACACTGCTTTTAGTGGTCCTTTAACCCTATCCACTAACACATTGTGGAAACTTAAAATAGAAAGCAAACCTCTGGTTGGAGAGCTCTCCAGTTTAAGACAGGAGCAACACTAAACACTGACAGACAATATTTTCAGATTAACTTCATAACTAGAAGGAAATCAGAAAATATTAGGATACAATAAGAGGGTTCACGGCCTTTCAGCAGGCCTTAGAGAGAATGTATTGCCTAAATCCAAAATGGTGTTGGTGAGAAACCACTCATCTGCTACTTAGCTCTGCAATTTCATAAAGTTTGCAAGCCTCTACTTCCTGGTAGTGGGAAATGAGAAGTTTCTCCTGGATGTGTTTTGAAAAAAAATGTGTGAGCCCTGATAATGCTCAAGAATCAAGGTTATAGTTCATAATTTCAGGGAAGGCTTCAATACTATGAATGCTGAGTACATCATGTGTCTTCATAAATTCATCTGGGTAGAGAGGCAATATGCTGCATGCACTCTGTTCTCATTGTTTTCTTTTCAGAGACCAGACTGTTTCTTTTTTCTCTTTTCAGAGACCAGACTGCTTCATATTGCATTTGGAGGGCAGCAAAATGCCTTCCCCAGGCCTGTTCAAATTTGCCAAACTCCTGCTTGGGACTGTCAGTGCTTTTCTTTGGGCAGATGTCTAAATGCCCATTGCTGGGGAATCCCAAGCAGCTTGGGCAAAAGGCAACTCAAAAAGAAACCACTGAATATCTATCATCTGAACCCTAACTCTTTGCTTTATCTAGAATCATCTGAATTATCAATGCATATAGGTCTTAATAAGATCTGACTTGTTTTTCTATCATGAAAAGTCTAATAGATATTCTTTTTGATTCAAAGATTTTATTTAATTTTAGATTTCTCACTTTGATAAGGCACTGTTGCTTGCATTTGATTTTAGTTTGCTGGTATTTTTCCTCTCAGTTCCATTTAGCATCAAAGAAAATACTAAACGAGCTACCAGGAATCATTCTGCACTTTCAATAATAATTGCAAAAAAAGTCTTGTAATGCCAAAAATAAGCTAGGACTTCACTTTACTAGCGCTAAAACTTTTTTACCTTTAATACAAATAAAACATCTGAGCTTTTTCATCTAGAATTGTGATAATTAACATTGTTATCACCCAAGAAATAAACAATTGTTTAAGGAAATGGGTGAGAGTGGTTCTCAGTGCTACAGTGCTGAGTCAGTCATGCAGAACTAATTTCCTGGCTGTCTCTGAATGCACATAAAGCTGCTCTGTAGATGCTGCTGACAATGAACTAGTGACTGGAAAAAGGAATCTTAAACACAGTCACATCTCTTGACTGTTAAAATCCTTTACACAAAGCATGCTGATCTAATGTACTGTAGTAAGCAGTATCTTTTTTTTCTCCGGCTTGTTAGTAAAAGAAGTTTTAATACCTGAAGCTGTTGCTAAGTAACCAACTGCTTCCAAAATACATCCTTCTTGATAATAAAACTGGTTTGTTTTTCTGATAATTAATATAGCTACACTGGAATTTCAACACTGGTATTGTGTAATGGGAAAAATACCCTAACAATAGAAGACTGTCATGCATAACTGAGGATGTCTCATTCACGTGGGGAGCATATTACAAGTCACTTAATCAGAAAATCTGTATTTGAATACAACTGCCCGGCAGTTTAAAAGCAAAATGCAAATAGAAGTAAGATGCCTGTGTGAAAAGGGGCTTCCCTATTTCTTTAACTCCATCATATGATGCACAAAAAAAGAACTGATGCCTGTCCATAATATATGATATTTAGAACCGGGTCACAGATATTTTTGCTTTCATAAATAAAATGTGCTTTTTTTGAAATAGTGTTTCAATGCAAAGATGCTCAGAACCAAAAAATTCCAGAAACAATCGACCAAAATAAAAAAAAAATTGCCTTCCTGTACATAGATTAACTAAGACTGCAAGAAAACAGAAGATGCCCACAAGTAGCAATACTGCTTCTAGCTTAATGTTGATCTAGTGTTATTCTTCAAATGAACTTTAATGGCTGGAAGAAGAAGAAGGTGGGAGGAAAATGCACTCAGATCCAAGTTTGCAGTGTAACAGCCCACACAGGGATGTAAATGAAGATTTGGACGCAGGATTTGCTCAGCGAAGCAGAAGGTTTTACTGCCCTCTAGTAAAATGCAGTTACGAAACTGTCTTTTAAAATGTATGCATGCTGAGTAAACCATTTCAGTTATTGTTACTGAAAATGTGATTAGTCGTGGATTGTCATCTCATTGTTTCCATAGTCAAAGAATAAAACATTTATGTTCAATCTAGACTGAATTATTTTTGAATTAAGGAAAATAGCAAAAATGAAGCACAAAAGCAAGGTCTCTGTGGCTGCATCTGCATGAACAAATCTCATGCCAAATTTTCAGCACTGTTATTAGGAAAAGACTAATTTTGCACAGTGCAAAAATTCCTAACGACAGGGGAACTTACCCTGTCATTAGGATTGTATCAGCACTGAATTAGCAGCTCAAGAATGAGCATGATTTGTGTCCTTTAATTTCTGCCCGCAGCAACTCTGAGAATTAAATGGCAGCAGAACTCTTTACCTAGTGCTACAGAGGACTGGAAGGTAAGTTGCAGGGAAGCTGTAGACATTTAATAGCCTGACACACAGGAAAAAAGAAATGAAATGATGGTGTTGTTGCCATGCCCAAAGCTGCTCCATGCAGTGCTGTACTGCCGGATTATTCCTAACAAGGATGGCATGAAAGGATGCGTGAGGCTGTCACTGTAAAACGCCTGACACTGATGGCCATTGTTGTAACTGTATGCACTGTGACTTGTTACACAGTGCAGCCTCTGCCTCTCAAATAGCAGCAGGAGAAGTGCTTGGGAAAAGGCAAGTGCTAACTGCAGCCTCACAAAGTACCTAGTGCATTTTCCCCTGCATCTTGCTTTTCTCTCTTTCTCCCTTTCTTTCTTGCTCTTTCTCCCCTCTCAAATGTAAAGCATAAAACTGGCAGGTTTTTCAGGAGCCACATAGACCTTCTGGGAAAAATATATTTTCAATTTTCAACATCAGTCACGAAAAGTATAAATATTCTGTCAATCCTACCACTGTGTTTTTATAAAGGAATATTTAATCGCCATATATTCTTGTTTATATAGCTTCAGAAATATTCAAATACCTGGGGAAAATGAGGCTAGAGATGAGGACTTTGTTCTAAAGTAAATATAAATTAAAATAAACATTAAGAAATAGAAAGAGTTTGTACGCATTCATAGGAAAGATCCAAGTAGTGGGTAATGTAGCTTACTTCTCCTACCTCTTGCCTCCTTCTGCCAAGGACAGAGAATGCCAGGGGCAATATCTTGTTCCACCACAGAGGAGGGACTTTCTACCCTGTGATGCTACCTTTGCATACTCTCTCAAGACCAACACGTAACTTGAATCTAGAAACTCAGTACTATCTTGTACATTGGTGGTGCTCTGGGATCAAAGAACTGCAGCTGGTTTCCTGACCTTTTCTCTTGAGATCTGCTGAAATGTGGGTGACAAATCAAGCTCTCAAGTGCTCCAATACTTTCTTCTATGTAGGAACAGATGCAGACAAAACACAGTTTTCAGGATTTTTTATGAAGGCTCTCAGGTCATTTTCAAATCCAAATCCATGCATCCCTACTAAAAGAGGTCTGGGAGGGGCTGTGAGAGACAAACTGTAATGCAAGCTTCAGAAAAAGGAGTATAATTTGTACCTCAGTCATTGTTGACAAATGCTGACACTAACTAGCCTGTCCTTGAAAACCTCAAATAGCAGCTACTCCAGGTACTCCAAGGTCTTTTCTGTCTTCATTAGGTAAGATCCCTGATGAATCTTTACTTTTAACTGCTCTCCTGTTCACAAGCTACTTACCTCTTTATCTCATTGACTGAGTCCTACTCCCTTAAAGGCTGTTTTACATTTAACTCTCCTAATGATTTATGCTCTACAAGAATATGTGGGAAAAATATATTGTTTGAGCTTCCTGGAAATACTAAGCTTACTTTTTAAATTCCCTATTTTAATTTAAGATATATTTTTGCCTTTTCACTAAACTTTCTTAAATAAGATAACATAGTCTATTTGTTTTCATTTTAAAATTATTTAGTGTGGGTATTTACACTGCATTGTGAATGTGGCAGGTATTGCATTATGATCATTTGACCTTCCATTGTACATTAGTAGCATTGTTTATTAACCTTTTGTTGGTTTATTGTTCTGGTACTGTGAGCGTATTTGGGGATTTGAGCTATGTGAGGGCTTGGTCGGGTTTATTTCTATTGAGCTATGTACAATTAGTACAACAGCCATGTTAGTGCTGTTTCATGCGTACGAAAGAAACTTAGTCTTGTATTAGGCACTTATATAAAAATACCTTCCATGATTTTAGACAGCTCTATAATCTTATATTTCACCTGAGTTCTGAAAAGACCAAATGTGCAATGGTGAAAAATAAAGACTTCAGAGAGCCCCCTAGATAGGTAATACAGCCACAGCTGGCACTATAATCTCCTTTGAGATTCGTGTTAATAGCAGCAAAATATTTTCTTCATAGCTCCATTCCAAAATATGGCCCATATGTCTATGCATAACATGCATTAAAGAAAGAAGCTGCAGGCTTTCAGCTAAAAGAATGATGGGTATAAGAATCTTAAGTGAAAAAGTCTCAAACTGTTTTAAATTAAAGTCAGGATGTACTGATGAGGCTTGGATATCTTTATTTAGTTGCATTATTTTCAGAAGTCACCATCACTTTTGTATGTGCTTAACCTAATCTGTATTTCTTCCCTTTCCCCCAAATTCTGTAAGTAGAAGAAATATTTTTTTTTTCTTAATGGAGGAGACTTTTAAGAAATTCCAGAAATATTTTAAATTACATTGTGAACACAATTTGGCCCGTGTATTTCTTGTCCCTGGAGATCTCAGAGTTTCTAAGTTCTCAACAAATCAGATTGTGTGACAAGGTCATAACTAGATCTTAATGACCTACTTTCTATCAACATGTTAAAATTTTCCTATCATGAATCATATGAAATTACAGCCTTTAGAATATTTTTAGGAAAATAAAAGTGTAAGCAGCTTGCCTCTTGTTTGATGCATAAACCACAGTTTCCTCCCTCCCCATTCAGCATTTGATTTAAATCTTGGCCTCATAAGCCATGTCCTGTGTGAACAATTGATGAGGAAGGCCCTGGAGTGTAAATGGTGAAGTGCATACTCACATCTCTGCCTGATTTAGACCAGAACAGGGATTTTCAGCCTTTGCTCTGCAGACCCCTGTGGATTTCAGCAAAAAAACCCCAGCAAATAAAAATTCAACTTCCCATATGCTGCTGAAATCTACACACATGTGATATTTCTGAGAGGATCCACATCTCCTTTGGGAAATTTATGCAGGTAAACAAACTGAAAAGGACTGAAAAACTCTGGACTAGAAATTTGGGTTAGTCACTCTGAATGGTTATTTAGTTCTCATGCTGTTTGGAAGCTCATGTGTTTTGTTGGGTGAACTGTTTCGCTTCCTAGGAGGGATTATGTATTCACTGAATGGGTGAGGCAAAGTGTCTTTGAAGTCTTTGCAAAATATAGGTATGGAACTATTTAGACAAAGTTGAACAGCTTGAGCAGATGCTTATCTAGAGCTTAGAGGCTATTTTATTATTTTTATTTCTTTTGCTTTTCTTTTTTTTTTTTTTGAATCAATGTTCTACAATAATAAAAAAAAATCTTCTGCAAGACAAGAGAATGACAAAAATTAAATCTCTTCCAAGAAAACGGTGAGATTAGGCTTTCTGTATATTTATGAATCCTGAAAAAATGCTTGGATGAAATCAGCATCACCAATTCACTCCTGTTGTTCTCCCTCATACTGTGAGTCTTTCCGAATCAGTAGCAAAAATAGGAATGATTGAATCAGTGAAGCTGTGAACATTACAAGATGCACACTCCAACAAACATAAAATGCGTGAGTGCCTGGTGAGCATTAGGAAATCTGTCACTATGAACAATTGAAGATGACAAGTTTAAATAGACCGAGGAATTCCAGTGTTAACTTACTTTCAAACAAAACATTTTCAAAATTTTCATGATCACTTTTTTTTTAAACTGAAGATAGGCTGCATGAAAATAAGTTCATTTAAATTCCTTTTACATAAATGAAAAAAATAAAAGGTTCTGGGAAAACCATTAAAAATGGACACAAGAGCATTTGTGCACTGCTCACTTTCCCTTATTTTTGCTAGAACTTTCAAGAACACCTTTCCATACTTGTAGTCTGGATGACTAATCCAATATTACAGCCTCTCATGGGGTGCTGACGGTACTTTGGCTAAAAAGTCCTCAGTTTTCTGTTGTTTTCTTGAAAAGAAAAGAATGCTCTATGTTTGAACTGTCTACTGTTTTCATAAATAACTTGTGAGAGTCTTATGTGATTCTATAGTGAAAGACTTCAAGTCCTGCAGAGACACCCCATCAGGCAGCTTCAGGAGCACCTACCATGCTGGCTCTCACAGCAAAGTGGCAAGCACGGGGAGCGACCATTAAAAGCATTACAAGCAGTTTGCCTCCAGAGTATTTTGTTCTGTGAGTTGTTTTAGCTGGTTAAATTCTACAGAGAAGAAGACGGGAAATGATAATGAGGGCTAAGGAGAATGGGACTGTCTTGAGATAGTTAATACCCCTCTCAGTAGGCAGATAGATTATCTGAAAGGAGGAACAAAAATTGCATTTTTTGAAAGCGACTCTAAGCTTCAGGGAGCCAGGGAAATTGTTTTCTGTTGTATTTGTGGGCATAGTCTCATCTGTGAGATATTTAAATATGAGTACCCTTTTAGCACATAACTTCTGCTCATTTAGCTATTTAAATAATTTTGTTGATTTTAGTATTAAACTTTAATCTAAATGCAGGAAAAGCAGAATACCAAGGAAATCTTTGTAGTGTCTGTGGACATAATAAGGGCAAAGTGTCAGAAAGTAGGTTTCTGTCTTTTGTACAGTGAGTATATTCTAGTATAAAGACTTTGTAAATTACCTGTACACTTTCATATTTCAACTTTCTTACTTATACTGCATGTTAGATGGAAGTCCTAACTTTAAAATTAGTCATCCTAGTGTGCAAAGCACTGCAAAAAGATGGATGTTTTGAACATAACAGGCTTTACATTAAACTCCAGCACAGATTAGATGAATTGTGGAATTATGTCTAATACTCTTAAGGGGTTTTAGTGATCAAACACACAGTAGATCCATGCTGACATTAGGTCTAGCACGTCTAAGAAACACATAACAGACATCCAGCACCCTACAGACCTGCAGTCCTACTGGTTTATGTTTAAATGTTTACGGTGTAAAAATGTTGACTGAAAAAGCCCATTTTTTTATAGTCAACAGTAACTCCAGTGGTGTTTCTGGGCAGTCCTGTCCCTGTGTATTTCACGGACTGCATGATTGCTGTATGTGAGCAAGCATACATACAGCAAGCAATACTACTGCAATACTGTGCAATCTACTGCAATACTGTGTGGCCCTCTTACACTGTAAGTAGGCTGATACTTGCAAATTATACCTATTTGCTAAAAGTATTTTTGCCTTCACCGTAGGACATTGGCATGAAGTCTGTTATGATAATGTATGAAAGTCTATACGTTTGTAATATTCTACTTTTTGGAAGATTTAAATTAATGTGTTTTAAGAACCACTGATTTGCTAGTGTTCAGTTACCACTGAGGAATTCTTTACCCCATCCACAGTATGGATTTAATCTCAGGAATTTTATTCTCCTAGACTATTTCATAAGATAAGGAGAGGTATCTAAAGCCCATGGC